TAGACCGCCCATCTCGACCACTCTCGTAACTTTTTTCCTAATTTATCATAATGAGTAAACAAAAAAAAAAAAATCAATCCGTGGATATCTATGTCTTACGTTAGTTTTTAGATGGCGTGACAATGAAAAAACATGTTTTGCATACTCTAGATTACAATGTCCATGAGCGGATGCTTGAAAACTATAATTTTTTAAATATATTTAATACCACAACTTTAACATCGACGAAAACTCTAATTTACGAAAAGTTTAGAGCGAATTGCTAGCAACAGTCACTTCGATCTCCTGTAACACTAAATGCCTTAAGAGAATCGACTTGTTGTCTCACAGGCATACGCAGTAGAGCACTCTTAACAATATAAGATGGTTATGCATACGAATGCACCAATTTTCTTTTGGACTTTTGGCCAGGGTTTTCCAAAAATTGGCCACTGTGCATTGGTGGCAGAATGTGATATTTCGTCATATTTTGTTATTACTGCTGATATAAATTATTGCTTTATATGTACGGTGATCATTCGTTCTGTAGATATCTGAAGGTTAAATTATATAACGTCCCATCGCAACCATATCACATCACACCAAATCACATCACTTAACACAGGGCATCATATCTCATGCTTATACATATGTATTGCATTATGATGTGATGTTTGACAAATCATGGCTCGTGAATGCCTGCTTCACTTATTTAGGCCGGCTAGACAAACGAAAAGGATTTTGTTCAAGTCACGGCAGCTACGGCCGAATTCATTGGCCGGCAAACCTATTCTGCTAGCATGCCTTCCCGTTAAGCAGTAGACCGTAATAGTACCGGTCACCACCCTTAGTGAAGGAGGGCGTTCTAACAGAATGAGTGAGTCGGATGTTTTCTCGTCGAGGCCGGGCTAGATTTGTCGAGTCGTCCCACGCGTGGGTTTTTCCGACCATGTTTTATTTGCCTTCTCGACGATGTATGTTCTGAGTCATGTCTTAGAGATAGAAAACGGTATGCCCGCTGCATGAGAGAAGTTGACATCTTACACGATGGTTCCCTTCATCGCAAGCTCGTCCGCTACATAATTACCATGAATGTGTCTGTGGCCTGTCACTCATACAATGTTAGTAGTAGACTTAAAAGCTACACGGTTAAGGATTTTCCTACATTCTATCGCAGCTATTAACGAAGTCTCACAGTAATCCAGTAACTTGAAAGCAAGTGGGATATCGGAGTATATAGTTACTGAAGGCAGGTGAAGAGAAGATGCGATAAGCCAGAGTGCAGCCTCTTTTATGGCCGCGAGTTCTGCTTGGAAAACACTAAAGTGGTAGGTAAAAAAGAGGTCTAGTGAGAGGTTCTTCGAGAGTATACCTCTCCCTTATCTTAAATTTAGTTTAGAGCCATCCATTTGGATGGCCGTGGAGTCATCTTGAAGTCCCCAAACCGAGTCGTCCTCCCAGTACTTCCTTGAAGGGATTTGATGGGAGAAATTGTTCTTGAGCTCCATTGGTGGTGTTGAAAAATCTGGGGATCCAAGCGAGTCTGGGCAGTTATTTAGAATGTTGATGTGGCCGAATTTGGTGTCTTTCCATTTGAACAGGACATTTAGTCTTACTGCATTGCAGCTCGCCTGTAGCTTCCCAGAAAGTTGTACGGGCATAAAGTTTAGGAGTATTCCATGGCTTTGGTTGTACCTTGTTGAGCTAAGAATTTTTGAGCGACTTATCCAGGGTTTGTGACACTATTTATAAAGCCGTAGCCCTCTTCGCCGGCAGTTCCGTTGCTAGGTCAGTTTTCTGTCCACGATCACGCCCAAGTATCTCACTTCACTAGAGAGCGACAGTGCTACCAATTCCAGTAAGGGCAAGGTCATTACCATACGCAATTGCTTTGGAACCTGTGCCCTAACAGCGAATAAGTAGAATGTAGGGGTAAGATCCTAGATGAGTAGAGAGAATCCTCTTCCTCTTCTTGACAGTCAGATAGCTCCTTGGGATCCATCTTTTGCCGAATGAATGTGTCCAGTATCCTTTCCAGGATCTTTAGGAAGAAAGAAGAAAGGCTGGTTGGTCGAATAGCTTTCACATGAGAGGCTCTGCATCCCTTCCCCTCCCTAGGCTGGGACATAATATGTCAGGCGCATCTTGCAGCACCGCTGGGTAAGTGCCATCCAACACAGTGGATTTGAAAGTTATAAAGGAGCTTATATATAAAGGTGCAAAAGCCGGGGGCGAGTTACTCGACACAACATTACAGCCAGGGAAGTGTGTATCTAAGAGAATCTCTGGCATATCATTCCGAGATGAAGTCCACTCGCCATTCGGCCTCTGTATGTAACTGGGAGAAAAGAGACTCTTTGGCAAGACTTTCCGTAACCGGTTGGCATCCAAATATTCCTCAATATTGTCACAGAAGTTCTTCTATGGCGTCCTCTGAGCTCTTTTCGCTTTTTCTGAAATTTATTAAGGCTTCCTTATAGGAGTGTGGAAAATCTTCCTGCTTTCCTTCCTCTCGGAAGTATTATAGGAGGCGGAAAAAGCCGCGTTACAGGTTTTGTTGTTGGAGCCTACTGTTCACCGAGAGAAGTATGCACTACTACATTGGATAACTTGAATGCCCCAACCTCCGGCTAAAACATAAATCATCGTTCCGCCTTACACATTCATCTCATGAATTAATCGTATTAATAATAAAGCTTGCCGGATAATAATTTCAGGCTTGACTATTGTGTAACATAAATAACTGTATGATTCCTATTCTTCTTATTCTGTATGAAACCCAAATTCTTTATATCTTCAAAAACTTTGTGATTAAGTCGTTATTCATGCCATTTAATTAAATTGCTTTGAGACCACGTCTTTATATTATTATTTTTACTGACTCTTCTCTAATTCAAGTTCTAGTTTGCCCTTTAATACTTTTAGTTTTTTATTTTTGTAAATATTTTTGCTTGCATTTGCCGACAAACTGTTTGTCATTAATACGATTTCCCTCAACTCACAAACAGAATCTGAATTATATTCCTTAGCTGCTTCCCAGTAATTTGGAGCAGGATGTGGCTTCACGAGTCATTCTGGTTGTCGTGGCTTTTCAGCACGTCGCAATGCATCACATCACAGGTGTTAGACGTAAAGAAAGGTAAATCACATGCACACACACATATGAATAGTAAAAATGTATGTATATACTATATATGCTGAATATGAATATACACTGGCGGTGAAGAATGGGTGAATAGTAATTTTAACTGACTTCAAAAACGGAGTACGGTTATTAATTCATTGGAATAGTTTTTTTCAAAAAACTAGTGTGGTTAATTCCGATCATTGAATCGTGAAGAAATTAAGGGCACCCCTACACTTTTATATGAGCGTTGAGGTCGGCTGTGTTTTTTTTTTAAATGTCACTTCCATGCCTGGTGAAAATTCGGCATTAAACGTTCAAACTTTATACAGAATTTATATTATATTTCCGCTTGGCATTAAATGGCGAAAATTGTAATGTCAAATTTTGCATTAAAAAAATAATCGGTCATTACGTAGAAAAAAATAGCCATTAAATTCATTTCCACATGCCGTTTTTCAAATGTCTCCAATTTTATGTCATTTTAATGCTTAGTAGAAGTTCAGCATTAGAAAAATTCAAAAAATTTTCATCAAAAATTTTAACTTTTTAATCCGAATTTTTTGGGTATGCTAAGTAAGTCCAAGTTTAGACGGTTAAAGAAACTCATCGATTTTTATTCGTTTTTTTTTGAGAGCGTTTTGCACTTTTTCTCCAAAAATTCTGATTAAAAATTTCATAATTTTGATACAAATTTGTTGAAAGTATGATTTATATGGTTCTGGCATGCAAAATATTGTTATAAAAAATAACAATAAATTTTACTTAAAAAACATTATAAATATTGAAAAAAAAACACCATCCATACATTTTCGACCGCCAGTGTATGCATGCATGTGTTCATACGTTCATATATTTTTGGTGTAAAGTCAAAAGCTGCAATTGTTGATGGTCTTGCATAAAAAGCTATGCCCTTTATGCTTTAGTATATTTGTAATTAATAGGAAAATTCTAGATTTTAAATAAAATAGATTTAATAGAAATATCATCGAAAATCGGGCCCGTAAACTTAAGCGTTACTTAGACGATGCATTCCCGGTCTGAGGTGATAAGGCTTATAAAATCCCATTATTAAAAAGAAAGTTTATTTAAGGAATAGCATGAAACCCAATATTTTTTAGATGTCTCTTTTTAAATGAAACGGCTAATTACCAAAGGGAATACGTCAGCATTTTTCGTTATGACAATTTTGATCGAGGTTGAAGGAGCTCTGTTGAACTGCATCCTATCGGAAAAATTATATATGGATAAGTCATTTGATAATTAACCGATTCAAATGGAAATTACTTCATCCCTCTTTCTCGAAGTTAGTCCAGGTATAAAATCATTATTTTGAATTTTTCAAAAAATAAATTTCATTCTGGGTATAAAAACGCAACCAGCACCACCACTGCTGCTCGCTGAGCCACAAACTAGATTTTCTGCAACAAACTGCTATCTAACGTTTGTTCGAAAAAAAAAAAAGTTGAAAACTGAAATATTTTCACGTTTTGTGCCGCGTAGCGACGACTTTTGTATGTGCGAAAAACAATTAACGAGTTTTCTATTACGCGGTAGTTGGTTGTGTGTTTGAACTGAGCAAGCGATGATACCAGTGAATGGGAATGCGAATGGCGCGAATGAGTCAGGCAACAACATTAATAGAGGGTTTTGGTTCGCTAGCTGGAGGTGTGACAAGGACTCTTGAGGGAAAGGTGCACTTCTACATACGTTTACCTGCGCATTTTGCAGTTGTGGTTGATGAAGTTTTAGACAGTTGAGCTTAAAGCCTCAAGGTGTGTTTTAAATCAAATAAAGAATTTCTAAATGAATATTTCCGCGAGAGAGTTCTAGTTTAATTTAGTTGAGAATCTTTCTTTAAAAGTGACGTGTAAAATTTATTTTTTTTTTGACTCACCATTTGTTGCTGATTTTTTGGCTTTTTCACCAAATCGGGCACTTTGAATGATGTTACCGCTTCAATGACGTCAGCGAGTAGTAAGCCATCGCGACAATCTGCTGACAGATCGGTGACTCTCTTTTTGGATTTGGCACGTTCGAGATAGTAGTTTGCCCAATCGGTGTATATCTGAAAGTGGAAGAAAGGTAGGCTTACCGTTAGATCTCTTATTTAATGCTAAGGAACTACGTATTTGAAAGTAATCAGCGACAACATTTCTTTTATTGTGTCGAAGATAGTTTAGAAGATCAACTAGACAGACCTGGGATATTTTTTTCACCTTAAGCAACTCAAAAGAAATTTCGGTAGATATGTGTTAGGTACAAAGCTACGAAAAGAATTATAAAAAAAAATCGGCCACGTAAATTTTCCGAGAAAATCACTTTTTAATTTTTCTTAGTTTTAGCGTGAATTTCCAGAATTTCCATAAGCCTTTCTGATTTACTTAGTCTTCAAGGAGAATTTTTATTAGCTATTACTGCTTGCTTTTTAAGCAAAAATTGAATTTTAATTTTACTAATTTTTGTTTTCTTCGTGAAAATTGTTAAACATAAACCCTACTCGAATTATTATCCGTACAATAAAATAAGCTTTACATATACGTCATACATGCACTCGCCTCGACAAGGAAAATGGCAAGGCTGAGCTCTCCAACTTTTTAATATTCTCCAATCTTTCTTAAACATTTTTATCTATAGGCTGTAATATATGAAATGCATTAATGCATGCCACCATATGAAAAAATTACTTTCAAATGACAAGTTTCGTAATAAAGGACAAAATAGATTTTCAGAAAAATAAATAAAGTCAAAGAACAGCATAGTGAGAAAAATGACTGTTCTTTGAAATAACGTACGGATGGTCACCGTACAGATAGTCCATCGGCTATCAATGCGCTTAGGTCGCTACCTACGACCAAATTAAGACCAGCACTCTGTAAGCAAAGCAAATACGAAAAAAAACGACACTGTCTGCACAGCCCACTGACCCGTATCCCGAAGAATTGACATGCATTTCAACAGGTTCCATGGCAGCTGCAAGTATCTGGGCTCGAAGGGTGCAGTTGAACATTTTCTCTGCGAGTACCCGGCCATCAAAATAGTGAGGCTTAGACAATTGGCCAATTATTCCTGCAGAATGGTTCTGAGAGTCCAGTCGTATGCCTCTGCATGATATATGTACTAAAAATCTTTAAAATCGCCGAGAGGCTGCAGGCTCATATGCACTAAATTTTCAGGCGCCCCAGTCACATTTATTCATTTCACTATTAAGTTCAGCACATTTCGGCAAATGTATATACGCATATTTATAAGTATATATATATGTGTATATGTAAACTAACTAGGCATCATAAAATGTTAACTTGTAGGCGGAAATATGACATTTGGCGCACACAAATTTCATTTGTAGTTACGTATACGCCCTGGTGACCCAGGCAAACAAAATTTCAAGCCAAACTCGAACAAAGTGGCAGTGAAGCCAAATAAGAAGAAGAAGAAGCATAACAAAGTGACAACATAATATTCTTCCCAGTGATGTTATCATAATTATTGACAAAATACTTTTGTAATTTCCGTACACCAACGTACAAAGATTTGTCAAGCAATTATAGCTAACAGGCGACGTAGGACCGATACAACCAGTTACAAATGCAATTACATACAACTATTTAGCATTACATTATATATACATATACATGATTATATGCAGATGTGTACATTGCTACATAAAATATAAAACTTATTGCAATCGGGAACAAAGATAACGAGAAACTGTGCTGCAAATGTTAGAGCAAAGGCAACGAAAGCTGGCTACTGGGATGCGGAGGAAATGTGTAGGTGGACATTGAGTTTGAGGATTACTGCTGCACAGTTGTGTGTAATATGATATTATCTAATTGAACACATGAGAGGAAGAGGCAGCGTAGGAAAATGTGAAGTCAACAACTAATGCTGCGGGGAGACGGTAAGTTTTTGAAATGCAAAATGTTCGCTTTGGAAGCTTAGTATTTCTTGCATAAATTTGAGAGAAATGTAAATGTTGGTAGAAAGACTTGTAAATTAGTGAATATTTATAGTGAAACATTAGTGATTTCTGGTACACAGAGTTCTGTTCAAAGGTATACAAATAATATTAGGTATTGTTTTATTCCTTATTGCATTTGTGTACTGTGGCAGCAGAAGCAATTTGCCACAGACCGAGCTGCAAACTATGCATTTCACAATTTTATTTTAATTCTATAATAATGGAACCTGCAAGCTAGAAATATAAATGGAAAAATTCTTGAATTTCTTGAAGATTTTTTTTATAAAGTTAAACAAAAAAAACCAGCTTTGGCCACATGCTGCGTTGCTGCTGTGTTCACTTGAATGTGGCTGCCACAGGCTGGTGGAATGACTCTGATAGAAAAAAAATTTAACTAACAAAAGCATAATTGGACAGCTGGAATGCTAGCTATTGCCTTAGAAAAATAGAGCTGCTTGAAGGGTTGAAGGCTTGAAGGGAGTTGTGGGGAAAAACCAAATGAATGTATGCGGCAGGAAATAAATGTAATTTTTGGTCAAGGGTCTGGGAAGAGGAAACAATTAAACCAACTGTGGGAGAAAATGGTTTATTAAACGAAGTTAATTTTAGAAAAAATATATACATAAATTAAAATAAGAAAAAAGGATCTAGAGAAGGATAGATATAGAGATAAACCAAAAGAGACAAAAATTAAGATGGAACTGAAGACTAGTATATATCATTAACATGACATGACATATATTAGTTATGTCGCTCGCCTCACTCTATAGTGCTAACCATAACTTTACGACACTCGGCACATTGACAAGATTTGACAACTTTTTATTTAAATAACTTTTTATAAAAAGGTTTTCTTCCATACAAAGTATGCTCGACGATTTTTTATACTAAGAGTGGCAGTTACTCCCGGAATTCGCCCTTTTTTGTAGTTTTTAAAAGCCTTGGAGTGGTTTTTTAGCTTAGCGCGTCGTCCTGCTTTGGCAGGACTTTCCAGTTAGTCTACAAATTTCGATAATTTGATACATATCGACAATTCGATGCATTTCAAAAGCTTTAATATCCGATAGCTCAACGAAATTCGATAACTCAACTAATTTCAATAATTTTCGATAAAATTCGATAGCTATGCGTTTCGAGTCTCGATCAATTTCGGTAGCTCAAAAATTTACATATCTCAATATAAATCGACAACTCGATAAAATTTGGATACCTTTATAAATTTTGATAACGCGAGTAATTTTTATAGCTCTATATTTTTCGAAAGCTATCGGAAAATCGTTATAATTTGGTAACACGGTAAAATTTGATAAGCAGTTATAACTCGTTAAACTTATATAACTTTGAAATTTCTATAAACCGTTATATTTACTCTGACAACACGATAACCTTGACATATTTTGAAAATTCCCAAAACTTAGATTCGATAAATCGACAAATTTCAGATATTTCAGTAAAACAATAAATATCGATAACTCTTAGTTTAAAGAACTCGATACATTACGATAATTCGATAAATTTCGTTGACTCTCTAAATAATCTTAGTTCAATAAATAACGATAACTTGATAAATTTATTTAGCTTGACACATTTTTTTAATCCCGTTAACTTTTATAGCTCGATAACCAACGGTAAATTTCGAAAACTAAGTTTCTGTGTCTATAAATTTGGGCAACTCAATAAACATTGATCAATTTGAATAATTCAATACGATGCGATAACTCGTTAAATTTCGATAACTATATACTTTGATGTTTCGATCAATTTCGGTAACTTGATAATTTTCAATAACTAAATTTTTTATCACTAAATTTATTTCGATTTCTATCAAAAAATTTCAATAAACTTGCTTACCCTTTCAGTTAGCCTAATTCTTACATATTTAACGTTGCGAAGTTAAACAAAATGCGGAAACCACTCAAATTGAATAGCTTGCAAAGAAAATTAAATCTACACAAATACGGAAATTTTTAAACGACAATTTTGGCCGTAATCTTCCGACAATTTTGAAACCATAAAAACTCTCCTCATCTACAGAAAAATACCTTTCCAATTGTATTCTTCGGTTCGGTAAAATCGCCAAACGAAGTCGGACAAAATTTATGTTAGCGTATTAATGAATAGATTGAGAAAATGAGCAATACCTTCAATAAAAAAACAAAAAATTGCCAAAAATCAACGGTAAGTCCTAGTCACTTTAAACTTGCAGTTTCTCACACTAAAATTGAATTAAATACAAAACTGTGTACTTTTTTTTTTAATATTGCACACATATTAAACAAATATTGAAACCGCGATTGATGCGGGTTCTATCAATGAAGAAACTATATTTTTATAAACAAATAATTAAAATTAAAAATAATAAAATTAATACTTAAATATTGTCAGTATGAGAGTGTCGTAAAGTTATGATAAGCAAAAAACCTCAGCTCGCCTCATCTCACCTCAACTCAACTAACCCCAATTCTACCTCACCTCAACTCACCCCAATTCTACCTCACCTCAACTCACCTTAAATGCAGTAGTACTATTCATAATTTCCCGATGTAAGGTACTTCTTAGCTTCCCCTTAAAACGTTGAAAATCTGCAAATTCTTCAATTCAAATCCCAACACAATCCACTGTATTCTCTTAGTCCGATCAACATTCCATGCAAAAAACAAAAATCTACTATTTTAACCAACAAGGCAATACGCTAACTAGAAAAGATAACAAACGGCCTGTAGTTGACTACAATAAAAAGAAAAACAAAAATGTGCAAGCTCTGGTCCATGCTATGATTTTCTTTCTTCTACTACAGCTGCCTATGGTAACTGTTACTGACACCAAAACGAAGTAAGTGTAATAGAAGTCAGCTTCAAG